GACCAGGCAGGACTTCTTGCCTCAGTTTCCTTAAGGGACATCGTGCCCATCCTCCCTGATCTTGGCAGCCCTGGGCCTGCGGGGGGACAGGGGGCCCGCAGGGGCCGGCGGGCAGAGGGAGGCCCTCGGGGCTGGTCTGGCAGCCCCACCACCCCCAGCTAGGGCCTGATCCCTTGGGCTGCTCCCGGGACAGATTCCTCTCTTGCTCTGGCCCTGGGTGCCAGAGAATCCGTGCCAGAGAACCAGGACCTTCAGCAATCTGGGGGGTGGGGAAGAGGTCAGAACCAAGGTCAAGGGCAGGGGGGAACTTTCACTGTCTTCCTGCTGCCCCAGGGGCTCTAGACTGAGTCTGCAGCAGCGCAGCCAAGCATCGCCCCCTGGGGAACATCCTGGCCCCAGCAAGCCCCACAGGTGGGGGACAGTGGATTCCCCTTACCAGGAAGTCAGGCCACCTGGATGGGGGAAGGGGTGGGCCCAGGTTGGCACCAGCCTCTCATCCTGGGGGCCCTGCTGTTCTGGGGTGCCAGGTTTCAGGGACCAGGGAAGAGGGAGGGACTGCCGGGATGGGGTCCTGCCAGGCAAAAAGTGCTAGATGCCCTGGGTGGAGCAGGAGAGGGTCTGCCCCTGCCTGGGGCTGGAGAGCTGACAGCACCCGAGGTCCAGCCCTCCCTCCCCTTTGGGACAGCTCTGGGCGCCCTTTCGAACGTGGCCTCAAGCCTGAGAGGGAGAGATGGGGCAGGCGTGGGTACACCAGCCTCTCCCAGGGAGGAGGGAGTGGTGGGCTTGACTCGGACAGGGCTGCGCCAGGGATGGGAGGGCGCCTCGCTGGGTGACGGGAGCAGCTTTGGGGTAGAGGGGAAATGAAGGGGTGCAAAATGAAAATGAAACCAAAGCCCTGTCCAGGAAATACTCCCTGTGTTGAGGATTCACCCAGCAGATTGGCCAGGACCCAGCAGGCTGTGAGGCTGCGCCTGGGGACAGGGGAGGAGTGCGCGGTGGGGGGACAAGGGTGGGAAGCAGGTTGGGGGGCTGCAGGGAAGACGGCTCCATTGACTGTTGGGCCCCAGAATGGGAAGCCGGAGTGGGGGGGGGGGGGTCGGTTTCCTGGAGAGAAGACCCAGTGCGGTCCAGGAACTGGCAAGTGAATCTGAGTACACGTGTGGACTCACTCACATAACCCACCACCGCCCTGCCCAGCCGTGTGGCTCCACTCTGACCTCTCTGTGCCTCCCTTTCCCATCTGTGAAATGGGGATGTGGCTTCCTGGCCGGGTTCGTGTCTGTTTTTGTTGCCCAAGCCCCCTGGGAGAGGTCTAGCAGAAGTAATCAGGAAACATTTGCGGCCAGCAGGCCTGAGTCGGAAAACAGGTGTGTTCTGACCGGCCAAGAGGAAGTGGGACCTTCGAGGGCGGCCTTCACGGGTCACTGGCTGGATGGTGACAAGACTGTAGTGGTGGGTGACGGTGGGTGACGAGCAGGGTGCAGGAGGCCCCAGGAGCAACTGAAAGCGACCCCACCGCTGAAAGTAGCCTTCTCCAGCCCGGAGCAAGATGAGCTGTGACTCGATTGATCCTCAGGGGGCCCTGTGTGGTCCCTCTCCCGGGGGACATGCGGGAGTCAGGGTCTGGCTGTGCTTTTCTCCACCCCATCTCCCTTGAAGTTCCGACTCCTCCAGCGGACTCACAGGCGTCACGTCAGAAATGAGTGGCTGGAGCTAGGTCTGTGGGGTCTAACTGGCAACGGGGGTCCTCCCTCCTATCGCTGCTTTTTCTCACCCACCCCTGCAGGCTAACGCTGTCCTCCACCAGGACCTGAAAAATGGCATCCGGACAAGGTCCAGGGCCTCCCAGTCAGGAGTGCAAAGAGCCTGACCTGTCCTCCGCTTCGGGTAAGGGTCTTTCTGCTCCCCTCACCCATCCCAGAACCACCAGGCCCATCTGTGAGGATGCAAAGGGCGGTACTAGGCAGGGCCAGGCAGGACCAGGCAGGACTTCTTGCCTCAGTTTCCTTAACGTTGGATAAAAGGACAGCAGTATCTTCCCCACCCAGTACAAGTTGGAGTGCGGTCAAGGTTTAGTCCTGGAAGTGGGGAGGAGCCTGGGCTGGGGAGAGTTTGGAGGCCTAGGCACGAAGGTGAGGTGGGCACCGTGCCATCGCAGAGCAGGGGGTGGGATGAGGTGAGGAGGAGAAAAAGAGTGGGTGTTGCCGTCTTACCCCTGCACTCAGAAACAAGGAAGTAAGCTGGCTAGCCCTGGGTCGGGACTGCTAACCATGGAAAGCAATTGTCAGGGAGGAAGTAAGATGGCTGCCATAATTCCCTCCTCCCAGGGGACCCTCAGGGAAGCCGGCAGCTGGCCAGCCACTAAAAGCTGTTCTCTGGACTTTGGAGTCCGCTCCCAGATCTGTCACTCTTTCCAGGTGTGACTTCTCTGGCCCCACGGTCCCTAAGTCCTCAGACCGGGATCCCCCACACACACTAAAACAAACTCGGGAAATAATCCCCACTCCCCAGGATCCGCTCCTGGGTCCACTGCTTGCAGTAGCCTTGTAGACAAACGACTTAAACGCTTTGTGCCTTGGTTTCCCCATCTGTAAACTAGGGGATCACCGACTTTACCAAGCATGAGCATTGGGAGGCGTCAGTGAAAGGCCTCGGGATGCCCTGCACAGACCAAGCACTGGGGGTTACCTGAGTTGCCTGAGCGCTAGAGTTAACTGAGGGGCGAGGACCGCTGTGGCAGCTGCGGGGCCCAGCCCTTCTTCCCTGATTCCTGACTTTGATCCCCAGAGGAGCAAGTAGCCCAGGACACGGAGGAGGTTTTCCGCAGCTACGTTTTTTACCGCCATCAGCAAGAACAGGCTGAGGGAGCCGGGGCCCCCGCTGACCCAGAGATGGTCACCTTGCCCCCAGAACCTAGCAGGTGAGCAGCGGCCCGCCTGCAAGGACATCTTGGGGAGGAGGGGAGGAGGCTCACACCAGGTCCTGGCAACTGGCAGGCTTGGGGGCGGAGGGCCTTTGTCTCTTGCCCACTGTTGCCTCTTTTTCCTCTGAGGTACCCACCCCATGCCAGACGTTGCACCCATTTTAACACACGCACGTCCCTGGTCCTGGGCCAACCTTTGTGTCTGAGAACACTGTCAGTGGCACGCTGGCCCTTGGGGTGTCTCGGTGCACCCCTTTGCCTGAGCCCCACCGCCTGCTCATCGACCCGCCTCATTCCTCCAGCACCATGGGGCAGGTGGGTCGGCAGCTGGCGCTCATCGGGGACGACATCAACCGGCGCTATGACTCTGAGTTCCAGATCATGTTGGATCAACTGCAGCCCACGGCGGAAAATGCCTATGAATACTTCACCAAGATCGCTAAAAGGTAACGCAGACCACTGCTTCTCTGCTGTGCTCTGGCCACCACGGGCTGCCCCGCCCATGGGGTGGCAGATGCCCACTTCTGTCAACCTGGGGAGACCCCGAGTCTGCTGCTACATCACCTGTGGCCTGGCCCCTGTCTCTCTCTGAGTGCCAGGCTCTTCATCTTTCCTTGAGTTTCAAAGGACTCAGTATCTGAGGTCTGGCCTGGAGGGCTTGGCCGTTAGGCCAGAACACAGAGGGCCCAGGGTGGGGGTGTCCCCAGACCGCCCCGGTCCAGCCCCAGATAGCTCATGGCCATCCTTCCAATTTAGAACTACATTGCACACTGGAAATGGTAAGACCACTAACCTCCACCAGGTCCTGGAAGTAACTTCCAGACACGATAATCTGGGTCCGAGAGGCATCGGGTGTGGTAGAGACCGATTCTTGGGTCAGATCACTTTTGGTTTTATGAGACTTTCTAGCTTTCCATCTCCTTGTAAGTAAAAAACAGGGGAAATGGGCTTAGAATGGTGTCCACACTTACAAGGTGTTAACCTGTTTTTATCATCAGGGCAAGAGGGTCAGTCTCGGTAGATCTGAATCTGGGGGTGAATGTAAGTGTAGATAAGAGGTTGAGAAATAGTGCTTGGAGCCTAGATACCCTGCTGTGTCCCTAAAGGCCACCCCGCTGGGGTTCCAGGACTTTTCTTAACCTCTTCTATCCTTTTCTCTCTGCTGTCCCTCCGGCTGCCAGGCCAGCAGCACCACACTCAGGTAATCTCCCTGCTGCCTCCCTCCTCCTCTGCCCTCCACCCTGTTCATGCCCTGTTGTCCCCACAGCCTGGCACGGCTCACTCATACACCCTCTGAGCTTTCTCCTTTCACAGGACGTAGGCTCTTCCCAAATCGAGGCCAGGCTGGGGCCTCTCTGCCGCCTTGATTCGTAGCTGAACCACTTGCTTTTCAGCGGGGAAGAAGGGGGGAGCCGGGGATGACACTGGGAAGCAGGCTGAAGGGCCCCCAGGAGGTCTGCACTGACCGCGCAACATTCTGCCCGCAGCTTGTTTGAAAGTGGCATCAACTGGGGCCGAGTGGTGGCTCTCCTGGGCTTCGGCTACCGCCTGGCCCTGCACGTCTACCAGCACGGCCTGAGGGGCTTCCTGGGCCAGGTGACCCGCTTCGTGGTGGACTTTATGCTGCATAACTGCATCGCCCGCTGGATCGCACAGCGGGGCGGCTGGGTGAGTGCACTAGCAACCTGCTCCTGGCTGCTGCGGCGGCCCCTCCCCCAGTCCTGCCCCTATCCTGGGGTGCCTGGGGTGCCCCTCCACAGGCCTTGTGTTCCCTGACAGGTGGCAGCCCTGGACTTGGGCAACGGCCCCATCCGGAATGTGCTGATTGTTCTGACCGTGGTTCTCCTGGGCCAATTTGTGGTACGAAGATTCTTCAAGTCATGACCCCCAGAGAAGCCCTTTGGGGTCCCAGCTGAGACCCCTGGCTGGACTTCAGTCAAGCCTTCTCCCCTAACTGCCCCTGCAAGGGGTCCTTCCTCAAGAGTACAGAAGCTTTAGTATGTTGGGCACTCAAGCTCTGGAGGCCCCTTGTTCAGAGTCAGTCTGCAGAGTGCCCCAAAATTGCATGGTGCTAAATGGGCCCCCTCCCTGGGCCTCATCCTGTCAGAGAGGGGCTGTAGCTTCCTTAGTTCTGTGAGACCCCCTTCGGCCCTGTTTTCTGGGTTTCGGAGAGGATGACAACTTGGGGGGAGTAAAAGGCTGGGAACCACTTCTCCCCCACCCCACCCGAGGAGTTTTTAATGGTTTGTTTTAGGTTTTTGTAATACCCTTGGGAGGATCCCTGCCTTCTCACCACTGTGCCTAAGGCCAGGATAGGCTGGTAGGCCCCCCTACATTCCCCAGGACTTAACTGTTCTGGACGTTCAGAATTTAGGCCGGCCTGATGCTCAGTCCTGGCCCTGTGAAGCATCGTGTGCCCCTGCTTCAACTCCCCTACCCCGTATTTCCTTGGCAGTTGGACTCTCAGGGATTCTGGGCCTGGGGTGAGGGTCCAGGCCAGCGCTGTCTGAATTCATCCATCAGGGCCCCTAAGCCTGCCTCCTGAGGGCCTCCGTTCTCTCCCTCCCCCTCACATTACACCACTGCACTTGTCCTCCATCACTCCACAACAGGAAGGGCAAGGCCCTGGCCGAGGGGAGTGCTGGGTCCTCCTCCTCCTTGTCCAGAAGGGCTTCAGACTGTGGTTGGTTATTGTCAGGGAAAAAGGGGTCGGCACTCACCTTGAGGATTCCCAGTAAGAGAAGGGCTAATACCACCACTAGGAACCCCAGGGTTGGGATTCTCCCTCATGGCCTGGGCACAGTGTAATCTGGGGGTGTGGATGGGAGAACTGAATACTTGAACTCTACTCTCCAATCCCTCCACCCTCCATACCTGCCTAAACCCGCCCTGTGGGTAGGGGTGGGAGTGCCTTGCCTACCTTGCACAGCCCAGGGGCTTGGAGATAAGGGGAGAGAAGTTCTTGATTAAGCCAAATGCAGGGAGGGGATGCAGCCTGCTGATCACCCCCCACCCTCTGAGCGTGTCTGAAAATAAATTACAATCCCCCCACACCTGCTTGGTAATTGTTGCATCCACTGCTGCCTCTTCCCTCATCAGGCTGGGCTGCGGGAAATCTGGTATTCAGCCGGGTGGTTACTGAATAAGGTCTTGAGCCTCAGGATCCCACAGAGGGCTGCGTTGGGGCCCTGCAGTCCCTAAAAGGCCTTGGTCTCTCTCCACCACTCCAGCCCCATCCCCAGGCATTTGCTATTTTTCTAGTTCTGAGCAAATTTTCTACCCCCTTGGAAAATGGGAGGCCCCCAAATGTTGGGATCTAGCTGCAGGGTTGGTGAAACGGCTGCGCATGTCTGAGGACCCTGTAAGCCACCTCAGACTTGGCCTAAATTCCTCCCCCTTCCTGAGGCCACCACCCACGGTGGCACAAAAAGTCCTCCCCCACATTGACTCTGCTTGGAACACAAAGTCCCTCTTCCCGCTGTCCCCTACAGCTAGCACAGGCGGGCTTTTCATTCTAGGAGTTTTGTACTGCCTGGGAGTCCCTATGGGGACACAGCCAGGGGTGATAAAAATAACAAGCATGGGGGCGTTTAAATGTTCCAAAATCTACAGTCTTTGCAGCCCCGAGCACCCTGGTCTGTTTCTGACACCCTACCAAAATGGTTATATGCAAGTCCTAAAGCGCTCGGGCTTGCCAGTTCCCTTGCCCCTGGGACTTGGTTTTCAAAGAGTCCGAGTATAGATACAATCATGGAGCGGGCTGCCTTCCCCCAGCTGTGGCAGGGCTGGAAGGGTGGTGACTGCCAGGCACCCCACAATCTCCAGCAGGAAAAGCTCATACACGGACATTATGGAGCACACGACTATGTACCGGACTTCAAACTGAGTTTATTATCCATGTGCAATCAGCACTATTATAGTGGGTGACCTGACTGTACGGTGGGGGGAGGGGCCTTAAATTCTCGCTTTACTGATAAGGAGGTACCTGTCCAGGATCACCAGGTAAGAGGGCTAGGAGATGGTGCTTGCTTCTAAGCTGCCTACTCGAGGTTTCACGGGTCGTTGCTTTCGCGAACACAACCCCATCTAGGGGCTGGGGTGGAGGACAGAAAGGCCTCGCCGCCCCCACGCGCTGGCAGCCCACAGCCTTCTGGAACGGGAGGTGATCGGGCTGCCCGAGTCTAAGATGGCTGTCGCCGCATAGCGCACGCTGCGTGCCCGTTCGTGGGCGGAGCCTTGAGACGCCCCGCCCCCTCCATTCCCACCGGCTCGGGAGGACTGGGGAACCCATAGAACAGAAGCTTGGGTAGCTGGACGAAAGCGATTGGGCAGTGGCGGAAGCTGTGATCTAATCTACCCCTGTAAGAGAGGAGTTGGAACCCTATCCTGAAAGGCTTGTGGAGTCCCAGGAAGCTTTGAACAGGTTCCCCCTTCATCATCCCACCCACCGTCGCGATGAAGTTTACACAACCGAAAACTAAGCCCATCGGAGAGTAACCGAAATTAGGAGGGACAGAATGAGGATTCACGGGTGGTGATGGAGATGTGACTGAGGAAGTGAGGTTCTCAACAGTTCCTCAAAATCTGAAATTTTAACTTCGTTTTCCAAGAAGCCTGCCTTCCTCGGCGCGTGTGCCCACGACCTGCGCTGCCCAGCCGTGGGAAAAGAGTGGGCTCAGGTCCCTGCACCGCACGCTGGCTGGTCTGAACACCTGCCCTGCCTGTACCCAGCGCCTCTCTGCAGCTTCCTTTGGGAGTTTGTTTTACCTCCTTCAGTGCCTCCGAAACATTTAATTAGAGAAAACCCTTTGCCCAAACCACTCAATCGTTTGAACTCATTTTTATGACCGAACCATCTGAATAACATTTAAAATGAATTAAATTCATGACTTAATTACTTAAAGGGAAACACCATATTCCGCTCCTGTGGTGCACACCTCAGATATAAAGTTCCCTGATCAAAGGCACTTGTAAAATATAAGTGTACTTTAAACAGCGCAGGTGTCCATGATTTCGTGGGGGAGGGGGCAGAGAGGGAGAGGGCAAAGGAAGGAGGGAGTAATGGTGTTACCAAAGATTGCTGGAGGTGTCAGAAGGTCAGAGACCAGAAAACCACCAAAACCTTACTCCTATGGCATGTTCACCGATCGCAGGATATGTTTTAAAAAGTGAACACCAGATTACTGGAATATAAAATATCAGCCGACCAGCTGATAGAATAAAAAGCAGTAGTCTGGCCTAGAGAGCACATGACCTGAAGCAGTTCCCTGGCAAATTGTACAAATGACCTGGGACAGGAGCAGCCTCCTAAGACAAGATCAGGTGAACTAATCTGCACAGAAGCTGGATTTTTCTAAGAAAAATCAATAACGGGCCCTTCCTGGTGGCGCAATGGGTTAAAGTGCAGCGCTATCAGGCTGTCTGTAGCCACTGCAGCTCCAGTTCCATCCCCGCCCCCAGATGACCCTCATGGCACAGCAGACCTCTCCTGACCCGCCCTGCTGCTCCCCTCAGCAGTGTGTTTCAGTCAGTCTGCCTGTTCTGCTTCCTGCTCTGTCTCTGGTGAATCCTCTCAAACCACCCCCCCACCCCAGTTTTTGTAGACATAAATAAATAAAATCTATTAAAAAGAATACTCATTTAACAGCTGAAGGGACTAAAGCCAGAGCATCTGTCTTCACCGGGACAATGAGATTTGGCGGTGGATGAGGGCAGGTGCCAAGTGGATGCCTGTGAATGTGTGAGTGTGCTCGTGTGTGTGTGGGGGGGGGGGTGGCATCTGAGAGTAACATTTGATCCATGGTTGAAATCAACATGCAAATCAGTATCCTCTCTGTTCCACTCATTTCAACTCTCCTTTTGCAATCCTGGAAGCATTCCTGGTGCCCAGTGCCCCAACGTTTTCCAGCTTTGGCCAAGAACACAGCATGAAGACAGTTGTTCAAAGTTATCTGCTCTGTTGCGTCACGCAGGGACCGACTTTGCGAGGCTCATGGTACAGACTTTTGTGGTGACTGCCTGCATGAAAGCCGGGCTCACCTACATTGTCAGGATTGGGCCTGACTCCTCTGACCTGACCTCTGGTCCTACTAGGAACAACTACTCCAGCTCATTTCCTGCAGCTAGACTTTCTTAAGAATGGGAACACGGGCCCTCCCCGGCCGCGCAGCAGGTTAGGATGCAGCACTATGAAGCGAGCCTCAGTCGCTTCGGCATGAGTTCCATCCCCCACCCAGGAGCTGACCCACATGGCCCGGCAGACCTCTCCTGACCAGCCTGCTACTCCCCTCAGCAGTGTACTCCATCAATCTGCCTGTTCTGCTCCCCGCTCTGTCTCTGGTGAACCCTCTCGCAGCCCCTGCACCTCTGGGCTACACCCCAGTTCTGTATGCATAAATAAATCTTTAGGGAAAAAAAAAAGAGAATGGGAACACTTTCCTGTTCAATTCTCTGGTGATACACAGCAGGGAAAGGCAGGGTGTACTTGGCGTGTCCAACATCTCTAAATTGCGGAGGTCATCAATGAGAGTGCAAGGGAGGCCCCAGGCTGGGCTTAGGGATGTGATGCTCAGGTCTGCTAAAAAAGAAATTTCCCGGAACCTCAATAACACTACTGCCGGGCAGTGTGGAAGATACTCCTTGCCAAGACTAAAAGTGAAGTGCTATCCTTTTGAGGGGATGGGGAGCACCCCGCGTTGTGATGCATAGCATAACAGACAAGGTTGTATCCCTTTGATCTTGGGCTGTCATTCTGGGTGGCCTGAACAATGAGCTAACTAGGAGCAGACCCCTTCTGATGAGCAGAGTCACACTCCAGCGACTCTGAATATTCCATGCCCCCCTTCCTCTTCACCTGGAGGCACAGTGATATCCTTAGACTTGAGGTGTCCGATTGCTGCCATCCTATAATGGATTGGCACTCCGAATCCAGGCTGCATGGTGCCAAGCCTGATGTTCCTCCATTGGTAAGACTGCCCTCTGCTGCCAGCTCCATCCAAGGCAGGGTGATGGCAGGAGGCCCCTCTGAATGCACACTATAGAGCAGCCCAGCTGGGGATGACAGGACAGGCAGGCCCCGAGGCTGATGCTTTTCCTGTAACAAAAAGCACATTCCAGTCTGCTGTGATTCACAGCTGGACTGCCACTCCGGAGCACCAAATGTGTGTGTGTGTGTGTTGGTGGGGGGTGAGAGGAGCTCCTATGTCAAACAATTCTGTAATACCAGCTTGATGTCCTTAGGGTTTTTTTTTTTTTTTGTCCTTAGATGGATTTTTTTTTTTAAAGATTTATTTATTTATTCGTACAGAACTGGGGTACAGGCCAGAGAAGCGAAGGGTGAGAGGATTCACCAGAGACAGAGCGGGAAGCAGAACAGGCAGATCGACGAAGTACACTGCTGAGGGGAGCAGCGGGCGGGTCAGGAGAGGTCTGCCTCGCCATGTGGTCGCCTCCGGGGCAGGCGGGAATCGAACTCATGCGAAAGTGGCTTTAGTTTCTTAGTGCAGTGCCTTAACCCGCTGCGCCACCAGGGAGGGCCCTTAGATGGATTTTTTAAAAAGACTTATTTATTTATGCATACAGAACTGGGGTACAGGCCAGGGGTGCAGGGGTGGTGAGAGGATTCACCAGAGACAGAGTGGGGAGCAGACCAGGCAGATCTACTGGAAACACTGCTGAGGGGAGCAGCAGGTGGGACAGGAGAGGTCTGTTGTGCCTTGTGGGTCAGCTCCCTAGCTGGGGACTGAATTCCTGCTATAGTCATTGCAGATAGCTTCATAGTGCTGAGCTTTAACCCCTTGCACCACCAGGGAGACCTGATGTCCTGTAATTTTAATTCAATTCTGACAAGGTCTATCTGTTAGCATGCAGATTAAGGGGTACCCCAAGTCTCTCAAACTGGCACTCTCTAAAGAGGTCCTGCAATCTACCACATAAAGACAAAGCATACTCCTAGTGTGGAAGAACTTTAATAATGTGCATAGAGAGGAGAAAGGATAATAGTTTTCCAATAAAATGTCCAAAGCTACCCGTCCCTATATGGGT